TCAACGCGGCCGACCCAGATAAGAATCCGACCTGTGGTCCTTTGCCGCATAACCCCCCCCCAAAAAAAAGCAACAATAAAAAACATTGTCCTCCTAATTTCAGATAGGCCATCTAACCTTACAATTAAACATCAGCTAAAACAATCTAATTGAGGTTTTATCAGATTTACCAAGGAGTTAAGTGCATTTAGCCAGCCAATGTTCTGAGAGCAGTCCATTTTACCCTTGGTTCCTGATCTCTGTGCCTCCTCTGCCCGTTTTTTCCTCTTCACACTCACGCTGTGAGTTTTTTCACATTTGGTTGCGTCTGCTTGTTTTTCAAGCAGCTTCTTTTTGAAACTCCTTTCAGATTTATCTCTTCATCTAAAATTGTAACATTGTGCTTGCAGGCCAGTTTTAATGTTCTCTGGCTAAAGAGAATGTTACATGATCCTGTATAAAAAGCAGCCTTGTGTCAGCGCAGACAACAACCATTGGGCTGCAGATTTTGGTGAACCGTCTGTGTCTGTCCCTGATTCACACAAATATCACAGAAAGGTGGTGAAAAGCACCTTTTAGATGTTGCTTGTTAAAGGGAGGGCAATCAGGCTTTCTTAACAGCTGGCATAATAGTCCTCTTTAATGAGATGTTTTGTACTCTTGCATGGCTGTGATAAAAGAGATCATATGCCACCTTTTTTATTCAAGTCATCAGATGTTGAAAGTAGACATTTCCTGGATCAGATTAAGCCAGGGACAGGCCCCTTGAACGAAAGCAGCTAGCAGGTAGGTGGTCAAATTCAGCTAATGTCAATGTCAACTTTATTCCTATAGCACATTTAAAAACAGCTACATCTGCCCAAACTTCTGTACAACAAACTTTATAAAGTGCAACAAATGAGTAAAAAGATAATAAAATGTTACAAAAACATAAAAAATAACAGAATAATCAAAATAAGTATAATAATACAAATAATAAAAATACATGAGACCTGCTCAGCTTATGTTGACGGCCTAAGCAAAAAGGCGAGTTTTAAACGACTTAAAAACATGAATACACTGGGCCATTTTAACATTCAACTGAAGAATGTTCCAGAGTCTTGGAGCTGCTAGGCAAAAGCCTGGTCTCCTCTGGTTTTCAGCTTAGATTTTGAAACTAATCTGCTAACAGATAGAAACATAAGTTCTCTCTTGGCAGTTTGGCGTAAGCAGGAGGCTAATATTTAAGTTAGAGGAAGATGGTTTAGTGAAGATACGCTTTTGCAGTAAGTTCCCTGTACTACCCCTTAACAATTATATTTATTTACTGCATTGAACTATTTTAGTCCAGCAAATTAATGGAGAACTGTTTTCCAGTCTTTGAGTATTATAACTTCTGTACAGCATTTAAATCTTTAGCTTTATCTTAATCTAACAAGCAGAAAAAATAAAGAAAACTATCATCACAGACACTAAGTTGGTGCAGACACAACCATGAATAACATCCTTGTCTTGGAAGTTATCTTAGGACAGATATTATGGTTATATGCCAGAAACCCTCCTTCTAGGTTCAATCCAGACTTCTGATCTGAGCATTTACCCTGCAGTATGTAACAAGCACCTAAAGGGTAGTACAGAGTTTTTAGGGCAGAACATCTTTGTCCTGTCTTGTTTAGAGACCAAAGGCCCACCACATGATAAATTGCTTTGATGTACAAATTATCTGGAGGGATTTGTCAAATAAGTGTGAACAGGACTGAAGGGTAGGGAATATGCAGACAATTACACATTGTGTGGTGATTAAGAAATTTAAAAATTATAGCTAGCATAAATTATTAAGCTTAGTTCCCTTTTCTATTGCTTTATATGCTGTAAAATGATCCAATACTGTTATTCTGTGAAAGTTATCTGATTTTTGTTTTTGTTTTTAAGGAAACAAACTATGGGGAGACCTGCTTTTTTCCTCATTTGGATTGCTTTCATTTGATTTCCTTTCAGGATCAATAAAGAATTTCTGAACTGGAGTACGTTTCAAAAAGCAGATTAAGTAAAAAAAGTTTTCTAAACCTGACATCAATGAAACTCTTGAGTTTTTTAGTTTCACTCAACCTCTGTTTCTGTCCTAACCTGGTTGGGAGCAGGTTTTGTTCCGTAAACTCAGAGTGTCTTCTGTCTCAATCAGGTTGTTTTTTTCCCCGATTTATTCAGGAGATTTTTGTTGTTGTGAATAAATAAAAAAAAATTATTCACTAGGTCCATTAAAGACATTAGGTTTTAAAAGAAAATATTGCATGTCCTTTTGATGAGGATCTCATTAAAGAATGATTGTTTTTTATAATTTATAGGGAGAGGATTACAACTCAGGTGACAGGATATAAGATTTATTTGGTTTTGGTTTGTTTAATATGAGTGACATGCTGATAATTTCTTAAATTTTCTTTTTACAGTACATGATGAACTATCAATCTATCCATCCATTTGTTGTCACGCTTATCCCAAGCAGCGTTGCAAGGGGTGCTGGTGCCTATCTCCAGCTGTCTATAGGCGAGAGATGGGGTACATCTTGGACAGGTGTCCAGTCTTTTCAGATTACACATAAATAGATTAATTAATTCTGCAGTGTAAAATGAATTACNGAGATGGGGTACATCTTGGACAGGTGTCCAGTCTTTTCAGATTACACATAAATAGATTAATTAATTCTGCAGTGTAAAATGAATTACATAAAGGTTAGCAGTAGGATTAATTTGGTTATAACAACCTACAGTGTACAGTACTGAGCCTATTGGTAGGTAGGAGGCAATCTAAAGCCAAACTATGGGACTGGTAACCGCTAATAATGGCCATTTGTTGTGATGATAACATCTGAAGCGGCTGCAAACAGAAATTTAATATTGACTGTGCAATAAAAGACAGAATTAAAATGAGGAGGAACCCCATGAGATGATGCACATGTCTTAGCTGTTTGAACAATGTTTTTATAGTTTATCTTCTACTACTGCCAGGTGATTTTTAAATAGATACATTGATCCACTACCATCCAAGCAATAAAGTAGTTTTCCCCTGCGTGATATTATTTTAGTTACAGCAGTCTGTGGTAGGCGGTTTTCATATGTCTTAGTTTGACTGAATATGTATTTTTCATATCTAAATAAAAATGTGTTCCTTGTAAAAATGACCATTTCTAACAAAAGGACATTCTTTCCGTATAAAACACACATTTTGGATGTTTTAAAATTAATTTCAAATCAACATATACCTGTTGCTAATGGAGAGCATTTGAATTATTTTGACTATAAGGAAATATACTTCAGATATCATAAATACATATTCAGTCAACCTGACAAAAATCAAAATGGCCACTTAAAATGTGTACACATTTCTAAGTATATAAAACTTAATTCTTTATAATTTATTTATTTATTTTTTTTACTTTCAATTTTTGCTGAAAAATGTTTTATTTAAAAAAATATTATTATTGTTCAGTCTAGGAATGTGACTTTGAACAGATCAAAAGTCTCAAAAGAAGAGTGGTGACTTAACGACTTTTAGGTTATGGCTTCCAATGAATTAATTTTTTTTTTTTTTTTTTTTTTTTTTACAGATGTTAAGGTTATCAGATTGATTCTATTAGCTGGATCCACATAAGATCAACATTTCAAGGTGTCCTTAAACCAGGAACCATGTGACCAAATGTCTCAGACTACAAGCAGAAAGGTAGTACTTTCTACAACTCCTTTTAATTTCCTAGATTTTAAATCCACAAGAAGATAATACATGTTGATCATTAAATATAGTTGATGTTCAAATGGTCAATTGGGACCATATGAGCTGTTGATTAAAAAAAGCCTTTACCACTGTGTTGATACAATCTAAAAATATATCTAGTCACTAAAAGGAAAAACAGCTATTTTTAGATTCCATTTCATCCCATAATGCAACAGTTTTAGTACATTTTCTAATATGTGTTAGCTCATTTAATGGCCAGTTCACAAAAAGAGAAAAATGCAAATGTCTAATGTGCTGGAGAGAAAAATAATCAGAAAGGTTGGCTGATGGATCCTGAGGGTGAACTAAGAGATTTCTCTCTTTCAGAAACATCAGATGAGTTAAAAAAAAAAAAAAAAAAAAACTCCCTAGCTGAACCTCATGATTTTCTTTAGTTTAACAAGTGATAAAAGAAAAACAAACATTTACAGTACTTTAGCAAATCTATAGAAAAACAACAACCTTACATTACTCAGCAGGTTTAATTACAATTTTGTTAAAACATATAAATAAATACATAAATGAATTGTAATACAGAAAAATACTTTTTAAAGAAGTAAGTGTGGGAAAAACATTTGTTTTTATTTCAAGAAAATAATGAGCTACAGTATAATCATTGAGTAGGCTACAGCAAAGTGTGGATATGATTCTTTAACATTATAAGTTAAAGTTTGTTGGTAAATGTCACTTTAATGTGCCTTTCTCTGTTTGTTTTCTCATCATCCCTTCACTTACAGTACACACCTTTAAATAGCCTTGTCACTAAAATATGCTATACATATTCAGTAACATGAAGCAGAGCTTTATGCACTGAGCTCCTTATCGAAAGAATGGCCCTAATTCAGCACAGCCTTACTAGCAAGGACAAAAGAATGATCAAAAAAAAAAAAAAGAACAAAAAATTCAATTACAATCTGGTTTATGAAATCCATAAAACTTGCCTGGCAACCACACACAAACTAGCAGGCATGCTGACATTGTTGTCAAGGAGACGGGAGAGCACGTAAAACTTTATTTTACCCTGCCACCTTTTTCATCAGTTATTTGCTTTGAAAAGAACAAGATTTTGCATTTTAAGTTTGGGAGTTAATTAAGTATGCTTGCACTGTCTTTACTTAGAATGCCAATTGACGTACATCCGGACTGTTCTTCCCAGTTAACACATTTAATCTGCAGAAGTTAGAATTATCTTGAGGCAACAAACCTTCGAAGTGGTTGTTAACAGAAAACCATTAGTAACACCTCTATCAGCTCAAATGGGCACATTTACTTACATGAGTGCAAGGCCGAAGTAGTTGGCGGTACTTCCCCAATACATCGGATTCTCAATGACGCTGAAGGGAAAACCCGTCACCTTCTCATCCATCAGTATGCCAAAGTAGTCACCTAAACAATGAAACACATCAACACTGGATTAAGAAGTTACTTCTTACAAATTCTGTCAGATTTTACATCCCCCTTTCCCTACCCATTGACTTAAAAGTACAGAAAAAATGTTCTGGAAAGATATAGGCCAGACCTTGTGGCGCAACGGTATCGCATCTGACTCCAGATCAGAAGGTTGCGTGTTCATATCATGTCAGTGTCATGAACCGGGGACAGATGGACCCAGTATTCAAGGAGAGACAGTCAGTAAGAAAGTTCAAAACGTTTATTAAATAAACAAAACAAAAAGCGGAGCTGTGGCTCGCGGACACTGCAGGCGGGGGGGCGGGGCACCGCCCAATCTCAGACACTCTGGTTTTAAGGAATGTCCCCAAGTGCTGCAGTCCCAGAGGTCATGCTGGAAGCCGATCCTGGTCAGGGATCCAGAACAGACAGAAACAGGCAGGATCCAGATCAGGCAGGAACAAAAAACAGGAGGCAGGATCCAGACTTCCAGGCATCCACAAGCTCCCAGGAGGGTTCTGAGTCTGACTGGGACCAGAAGCATGACCAGGTGGTCGCGCACAGGAGCAGACAGGATCAGGTGCAGACAGGCAGGCTCAGTGGAAGAGGGTAGCCGAGACAGGACGTAGGAACCGGATCTTGAAGCAGGACTTTAAACTGGTCTCCTCTCTGGAGCCAGGCTTACTGGATAAAAACTGAACCTCCCCACATAATGAGCCAAAACCCCAGAGGACTCCGCGGGGGAGGAACAGTGGACAATCAGGAGACGAGACAAACACAAAAACCCTCTTTCCACTGGCTGCTAGGATCCAGGACACGAACCAAGGAACCAAAACTAACAGACAGGCTAACAGAAAGACAAGTAATGATCTGGCACTGAATGATCAGGCTGAACTGAATTTAAACCAGAGTTAAAAGGTGAGGGGAATAAATTGTAATTGAGGCAGGGAGGGAAAACGGCAGGTGAGAGGAATTACTAATTAGGGAGGAGCAAACAGGCCAGATCATGACAGTCAGGGTTACATTTTAGGGTTTATGGGTTAGAGCATTGCACGTTTAATCCAGAGGTCCAGAGTTCGAGCCCCACTCCCATAGACTGCCACTCTGGGTCCCTGAGCAAGACCCTCAACCACACACTGCTCCCCGGGCGCCCCACAGTAGCAGCCCACTGCCTCCCAAGGGGATGGGTTAAATGCAGATATTTAAGTTTGTTGCTTTGTAGTTTTGACAGTGTAATGACAATACAAGTTGAGTTCTATTTTCAAACAGGCTTTGGATGAGTTGGAGTAACAGAGAAAGAGATACACAACTGGCCAGAAAATGTAGTATGCCCAATTTCTGATTAGAATTGATGCATTATACTGTGGAGTCATTTTGCTTTAAGTTGCTTGGCACTTTAATCAAGTTACCATCCTTTGACCTGGCAAAACAGTGCTTAGACCCTCCTGCTCCCTCCTCCATGTTTAACAAATGATGTCGCGCACTGTGGAACCATCCTTTGGCAAAATTTGAAGGATACAGACATCTTGCATGAACCAAAAGTTTGAAAATTCTGAAACATCAATTGACACTTTTTTCCAGTCAAAGGTGGTGTTTTATCGTCAAGGCAAGCCTCTCAGTCTAGTTGTGGTGTCTTAGCAACGGCCTTCTTGCTGCAGCTTGTTCTCTCAAACCTGCAGAGTGAAACCTCTTCACAGTTGAAACTAAAGATGCTTAAATATGTCATCCTCCTGCTGCTACCCTGTGAGCCCCCTATTACCTTAGCCATTAACTCTTAGAATGTTCTCTGATTCATCTGTAACTGACCTCATTCTGTCAGTTTTCCCTGTTTTTGAGTGCCATTTGATTGTCAAAAAAAAAAAAACATCACTCATTAACACCTTGACTTTCTTTGCAATTTTCAACAAATACATTTCTAAGCAATATACTAGGTTGTTCTCCCTAGTTTTGTATAGTATAACATTGTTCAATTTCAAGTTATCCTAAACACAGACAAACACACTCACAAACTCTCCTCAAAACATAACCGCCTTGGCAAAGGTTATGATTAGCTGTAAAAATATGGTTTTTCTTTACATAATATCCTTTTTTTTTCTGTAAACCAAATTATAGAATCATACTGACAAAATAGTGAAGGTCACCTTTGTGCCTAAAACTGAGAAAAT